ACTTTATAAGCCCCAAAAGTTTCCAAACTGGAGGCCCTCCAACCTTATGTTTCACACCGCTGCTCTAACTAAACTGAACAGCTGAAGTTTGACGAGCATATGAGATCTGGTCCCTTATTATTCTGAATTAAACTGACACAACATTCAGTACTTGTTCACTGGAAGAATGAATATAAGGCCCAGATGGTCACACAAGTGAAGGAAGCCGCTGTTAGGCTGAAGTACCAACGTCTAGAACCCATGGACACACGAACCAGTGATTTTATTCGACTTAGCCCCCAGATACTCGCATTTTGCAAGTTTCAAAAACAGCTTAAAACCTCAAATAATGCCAATAATTGCCAAATGATGGCAAATATGAGACCTGATCAGACTGGTACAACATACAGATTGGATTTAAACATTAAATAGTTAAGTTAAACAAGCTTACAGGTGAGTACTCAGCTATTCCACTGACACTGTGAAGTTTGCATAAAAGGCAAGGTAGAAGACCTGAGGACGGATAAAAGGATGGGGGTAAAAAAAGAGAAAAAGAGGCAAAAACTGGTTTGACACAATAAATCAAGCCAACTAAATCAGGGATGACATTTTTTATTGGCTGAATCAAGCAGTGGCTACACTATTAGCTTCAAGATAAACACTAGCAAGATTAAAACTGCAAGTGAGGCCACCAATCACGGCCTACAACAAAGATATGGGTGGAGCTGACCTGTCAGATCAGCCCATTCTGCACTACTCCACCCACAGAAACACTGCTCCCTGGTAGAGGATCAACTTGCTGCACTTCCTGGACACTGCAACAACAAATGCCTTCATTTTGCGCCGTGAGATGAGCAGTGCCAAGCAGGTGCACCCCATGACACACAAAGACTTGGTGTGTCAGCTTTGTGGCATGGACAAGACCAGCCAGTGTTCCTCAGAGCAGGAGAGCTGATCACATTCCTGTGCCCGCTGTCCCAACCTTAGATCCTGGCCCCAAAGCTACCAAAGGCAGACTGAAAGGTAAATGCTGTCTATATAGTCATAGCTCATCCCACTTTAGGAAGTAACAGCTAGATTCTATATTATTATACAATAATACAGAGAAAACAGGGAGAACTAACTATACTTTCCCTTAAATTTAGTTTGGGAGTTTCAGAGCTCTGTGTGTTGTGTTTAGAGATCACTGGGTGTCTTTGTAACAGAGTACCATAAAAGATAGATGGCAGTCGACAACAAGGGAGGTTTAAGCATTAATCACAAATTGAAATATATGCCTAAAAGGTACCTGAATCTTTCTTAATGAGCATAAAAAAGGGATTGTGTGTCACTTTAAACACAAACTG